CACTTAGCACCCCAATGGTCGTCGTTCGTTCTTTGGACATTAAGAAAGATCCATTTCGTCCAAAAGAAGATGATGAACTGGTCCTTGGTCCAGAAGTACCATATTTGAGCGCAATAGGTGCTTTATTGTATTTAGCACAATGTACTAGACCAGATATAGCTTTTTCAGTTAACTTGTTAGCCAGGTATAGCTCTGCTCCAACAATTCGTCATTGGAAAGGAGTCAAAGATGTTCTACGATACCTTCGTGGGACAACAGATATGGGTCTCTTCTACTCAGACAAGCCCACAAATGAACAAATCCTTGTTGGATACGCAGATGCTGGTTTTCTCTCCGATCCGCATAAAGCCCGCTCACAAAATGGATATGTGTTCACTAATGGAGATACTGCAATTTCATGGCGATCAACAAAGCAAACGCTAGTTGCAACATCTTCCAATCATTCGGAAATAATTGCTTTACATGAAGCAAGTCGTGAATGTTCTTGGTTAAGATTAATGATCCATCACATCCGGAATTCATGTGGTCTACCTTCAAAGACAGACACTCCAACTGTCATCCATGAAGATAATGCAGCCTGTGTCGCCCAGATGAAGGAAGGATTTATCAAAGGTGATAAGACTAAACACATATCTCCAAGATTTTTCAGCGCACATGAGCTTCAGAATGCTAAAGTTATTGAAGTCAGACAAATCCGTTCTAATGAAAATTTAGCAGACTTGTTCACCAAATCTCTACCAAAGTGCACATTTCAGAAGTTGGTACAGGGAATCGGATTACGTCGGCTTACAGATTTGAAGAATGCGGAATCAGGGGAGATACAATTCAGGGGGAGCATCCATGATACATGCATGTTGTACTCTTTTTCCTTCGCTTAGGATTTTTCCCACTGGGTTTTTCCTATCAAGGTTTTAACGAGGCAACCTAAGCATGCTCAACACCATCCGGGTAAAGTTGTACTCTTTTTCCTTCGCTATGGTTTTTTCCCACAGGGTTTTTCCAAGCAAGGTTTTAATGAGGCAACTGATGTTGATATGTGGGCATCCAAGGGGGAGTGTTGTAAATAATGGGTATGTTTGCCCACATGTGTATAGTAATGTGTATAGTGAAGTATCACATGTGTATACTATATACTCATAAGCTAAATAGTAATGTTTTGTAATTTTCTATAGAAGTAGCTCTATAAATAGAGCACTTCAATTGTGCAAAGATTAGTGAATGAGAAGAAGAAAGAAAAGAGAAATATATCTAATAGCAATAATATACATTACTTCCTCTGCAACAGCTTGTGTCGGTATATTACTCTGCAACTGCTTCGTTCCTTCACCGAGTAAAGGTTATCTCTCTATAAATTTTGCCTATTTATAACAGTATCATATTTCTTTTTCTGTTTTTAGTGAGAAAACAAATTGTAATATCATTAAATATAAGAATACAACTATAAATTCGCATAACTGATATTTTATACAATTCTGTACAAATGTTGGAAACAAACTTTAAAAAGTCTTCGAACCCTTTGTTTCCAAGAGCTTAATCATCTCAACAACTTGAATCTGATCATCAGGTGCAGCCTGCAACCAAAATCAAACCCACAAATTTCGTAAGAATAACGTTAACTCAAGTCCAACTGTTAAAGTGATTAGAGTTGAGGACAACACTGAGATATGATCATATAAATACCTGGGAAAAGTATATTTTTGCAGTCATAATTTACCATACAAAAATCTCAACAAATTCACTACAACCCTTCTGCAACTTCAACTAAGAACGTATTTGCTATCAACTTCTTTGTGATCTATAAGCATCAAATATAATTACTAAATTGCTTCAAAGAAAAATGGACCATAGGGAAACCCATATGAGTGGTGACGAATACACTGAAAAGTTAGAATCAACGAAGGGCTAAAGGACAAAAGCTTCCCTTGCTAAAATCGCAATTCTGTTACAAGATTAACCTACTTAAGGCTTACATTTGCTCCTTACATGATGATAACAACTTTCTATAAATGCATAGCACACTATGGAATCGACTTTGAACTTTAAACTCTACATCAAGCTCACCAAAAGCATTACCTAGGGAATTCGCAGTGGGTTCTTCAAAGCATATTCACAAGTTTCCCAATTTTTCTGTTATTTGGTTCAACATCCTACCAAGCATAGTTTTGAGAATAAGCAATTTACCAGGCATATTACGAAAGCTTCAAACTATTCAAAATATCAAGACTGTCAACTAAGACCTACAAAAATAACTTATTAAAACCAATCACAGATGCGGTAGTAGCAGTAGAAATGAAGCTTACAGTAGTTACACTTGTAAGATTAGACTGAATGTAAAACATATATATAAAGACACTTCATACACAAGAAAGTCACTTCATACACAAGTAGCTGTACAACTAGTAAGTAGATCCAAACTTCTTCTGCGACAAACAGCATCCATATTTTTAAATACTAGATCACAGGACATAAGCTGATAACTAACCTGATTACGAGGTGCAGTGAAACCCAAAGCTTAAAACCGAAATAGAATAAGGAGTTTCTCGAATTTCACCTTAATTTCACCCACAACCTTCCATTCTTCTCGGCCCAGGTCGCAAACAACCTTGATTCACCTTCCTCATCCCCAATCTTCGACATGCATACAAAAAATGGAATTAAGATTTGAACTCTAGAATCGATCCAAAAACTGAACGTTTTTATTTGGAAAAGAACTTACGCTAAAGGACATCCCACGAGGAGAGGATCATTTTTACCTAGGTGGAGGTCCAATTCCGGCGAGCTTGGCCGTAAATTGGCTGGAAAACTCGCGGTTACCGTTTTTTAGATCTGAAATTGAGGAAATTCGGCTTCGAATTTGATGAAACTAAGGGGGCTGTAGTCAAACTCGGATTTGAGATGATTGTAAAATACTTTAAAATCCTAGTGTAGTCAATTAAAAGATTTTAAAGGATTTTAGAATCCATTCAAATCTAGGTGCAGTCAATTAAAAGATTTTAAAGGATTTTAAAATCCATTTTAAAATCCATCCAAATCTAAGTGTATTAAAAAAATTAAGATTTTGGAGGATTTCAATAAATTGTGAATTTTGTGGGATTTGAGAGTAAGAAGTATATAACCAAGACTAAAAAGAATCAAACCTCACCCCCCTAGGATTTCAAATCCTTTTCCATCTAGGCAGTCCTCAAATCTCTACCAACCTCAGCCACACATAGGTAACCACCATATACTATGTTGGAATCTCTTTTTGTAAGCATTTCACATTATTGCACATAGTTTGAGCTAGGTTTTTGGACGAATTCTTGAATTCTCGAGTCAGAGAGGAATCACATTAATGCTCAACGTTTAGAACTTAATTCAGTGTTCAACACATAATAGTTGATCCCTACTATACAGAATATTAGTTTGAAGCATTCAAGGATATATCATGCATAGGTTAGGATCACAGTGCTGCAAACGAAAAATATTAGTAGTGCATGTAAATTACGAATTTGTACATCATCTATTATGCTTCTTTATTTCGACATTCAGTAATTCTTCTATTTCTTTCAACATTTTGCCACTTCAATCACTAAGACTTGCGACCGGTAGGTGGTACAAAATGTGTAGTCTGTAACAATGGAAAAATGAAGCTAGAGACAGGCTTGGTTGACTGCAAGGTGTGCAAGGGTACAGGTAACAGTTTCTTATACTAGTTTCATGCATTATTATGACCCTTAGACCTTAATTAGGCATGTATGATCATCGAAGGACATGATCGATCTAGGATTTTCGTTAATACTACCCTCTCGCCATTCTAATTTTTTAATGTCTGTGGTACTACAAGCATTACTGAAGCACCACAGCGTACGTCTATGGCAAAAGGGCAATCGGTGGTGATGGTTGTTGGTGGTGCAGTGCTCAAAAGCTTACCAAAGTTATGTTGATCTATCAATTGAGAAAGAGATGGAGTTGTGGTTGTGTGAAAGGGGACCCAAAAAGGGAGGAGTAAAGTGGCTATCGAGTACAGTAGGGCAAGGAGAAAGATTTTTCTTTTTTTTTTCAATAAAAAAATTATATGAAAATCCACCACAATCTACCAAAATCTACAAACTAAATCCATTCAAATTCTTTCCCATATGAATTTTGTAGGAGTCTTAAATCCTCCTAAATCCTATCGAATCTATCACTTTTAAAATCCTTTAAAATCTTAGTTTGACTATACCCCCTAACTTGGGAGTTGGAAAGAGGACGGGAAGAGGATTTTGGAGGTACAAGTTGACAGGCGTTGGTGTTCTCATCGCCGTCGTTTGTCTTCGACTCCCGTTGTCGGTGCTGTTGCGTGAAGAGAAGAGGGAGAGGAGAGAGAATGAAGCGAATGAGGTGTTGGACATTTGTGAAGGGGAGAGAGAGGATTTAGCTTTTTACACAAAAGCAAGACACCAATCTCAGCTTAAAAGACACCAAAAATAAAAGGGGACCAATCTCAAATTTGAAGGTCGCTAGTATTAGTGGTATTAACTAAAAAGACACCCAATAAAAGCCAAGAGTGCTATCTTTATGTCTATAGTCACCAATTGCAAATAGTGTGCAAATATTGGTGTCCTATAGCCATAATTCTATTAGTGATATGACTTTGAGAATGAAGGAATATTACTCTACTTCTAATGGTTATACACTTTTGGCAGTATTCAAAATACATCAAGGCAATCTCAGCCTTCCATCTTACACCCTATGAGATGTAGACACTTGGCACCTTACTTACTTAAGACCGATGAGACTCAAATAAGAAAGATACAACCAAATCAGCACTTAGCTAATTATTCTAGCAATATGAGCTAGAATTACAACTGCTACATCAGATCACAATTTGCGCACTAACAGTAACGTGACTTGACTTCTATGTCGTTGCACTCTTTCTGTCTGTATTTTGAAGGTTAAACTGTAGTGGTGGCGTCTACGTAAAAAGTAATTGGACCACAATCCGTTTTAGATAAGGAGTAGTCTTTGGCAAATTGGCCGAAGTGCCATAAAAATCACACAGCTTCCCACGTTTCTCTCGGAAAGGCCAAAACCAGTAACGGTAGAAGAACGTTGAAGCTAATCAAGCAGATTTTCTCTCAAACCAACGCACTTTAATTTCCTTAAACCCAACAAGGTATTTTCTTTCTTTCCATGTCCTTGCCTAGAAAAGAACTGTTTGGTTGCTAAGAAACTGTGGGAAAATGATGAAATGAAAGGAAAAAGAAACAAAGCTTGGCATACAAGGTTAGAATTCAAACTTACAAGCCAAACCCAGTTTTTAAAATCTTTCTTCCTTCACATTTCCTCTCTCTCTCTCTCTCTCTCTCCCCCCCCCCCTCCCCCATTTATTCAGCAGGTGCAATGGAATTAAGAAGCTGTGTTTATAGTACTATTGAAGTTTAAATTGTTGAATTCTTTTCCTATTTTAATATTTACATCTGAATTAATTTGTTTATTAATTTGAAAATAGTTGTTACATTATCATAGTTCGGAATTGTTCCTGCTCCTGCGTGCACAGCTATTCATGGAAAGTGAATTTAATTTTTACTCTTTATTTTCATAGATATCTGGTGCATTTGAATTTCTTGATTGGTTAATTTGGATGTCATTTTTTCAACAATTAGATTCTCCTATATATTAAGTGCATTTGAGGTCTGAGTGAAGTAAACCAACGTATAATTAATTATACAACAGAAAATCGCCCTCTCAATCTCAGTAATCGCATTTTGTGGTTGTTGAATTTGTATAGGGAGGATTTGAATAACCAAGAACAGAAGATAAATTTTGAGTTGCAAAAGCTGTTCCTGGAAAGGGAAGCAGCTGAAATCGAAAACTGTTCAGAATTACATAACAAACTTATCAGCTCAGATTATAATCTATCGGTTGCGACAGTTATTTGAGTTCCAATGTAACTGATTTGGCAGCTGCCTTGTTTTATGACTTGGTCTAACAGGTTAAGGCTGTCGAGATTTTGTCCAGGAATCACTGGAGTGGTGTCACAAATGGGGATGGACCTTTTATCTGTATGTCAAGTCGAACCGAGGAGAGTGATGTGGATTGTGGGAATGATATTTGCTTTGGTTTTAGTTGTCCAGCGTCTTGAACATCCGTACGGTAATCTTTTATCATCTATACTCTCTGCTGCAAAGGTTCCCTTAACTTCACTGTCTACTTCTCAGATGGTCGGTAATGTGTCACTTTTGAATGATCTGAGCTTTGTAGAAAAGAAAAACACTACAGATAATGCATTTTTAGATAGCAAGACTAGGAATGAAAGGGATACTACAGATGAAGTAGTGATCAATTCAACTGCTGGTTTTCTAACTGCGTCACCTGTGTCCCCAATGGTAAATTCATCGCCTAAAGTTGGAGCTCCCACTATAGTTGTTGACTCAAATGTGACTTTGGTCGAGAAAGATGGAACAGCGTCTTCCGAGAAAACCAAAACTTCTGAGCAATTGCACAATGACCTCAAGCAAACACAACATAATTCTTCATTGATCAGAGCCCCTGAAGTGAACAAAGAGCCAGAGGTCCCGGTCTTGGATGTCTATTCGATGTCTGATATGAAGAATCTGTTACTTCAGAGTCGTTCATCGGATCATTCAGTGGTACGCTTGAAAGTTTTGGTTTATGTTACATGGAATGTCATTAAATTATTAAAATGCTTCTACTCCTCATTCTTATTTTCACCTCTCTTTTGTTTGGGTACTAGATACCAAAATGGTCTTCGACTGTTGACCAAGAGCTGCAATATGCAGCCTCCCAGATTGAAAATGTACCCATTATTAAGAATGATCCAACTCTGTATGCTCCACTTTATCGGAATCTTTCCATGTTTAAAAGGTATGTTTAAGGCTCCTATGTATTTCAATTAATTTCATAAGCTTTGTGTTACAACCGTACAATTTACTAGTACTGCTCAAGTGAAAATCTCATCTAATCTGCAGGAGCTATGAATTAATGGAGGACACTCTTAAGGTATACGTTTACCGTGAAGGAGAAAGACCTATATTACACAAGCCAGTATTAACCGGGATATATGCCTCCGAGGGATGGTTCATGAAGCAGATGGAGGCTGACAAAAAATTTGTTACTAAAGACCCTCGGAAAGCCCACCTGTACTACTTGCCTTTTAGCTCTCTAATGTTAGAGGAAACTTTATATGTTCGCGATTCACACAGTTATACGAATCTTGTGCAATACTTGAAGAACTACGTGGAAACAATTGCGGTTAAATATCCTTTCTGGAATCGAACTGGAGGAGCTGATCATTTTCTTGTTGCTTGCCATGATTGGGTATGATTTTCATACTTCCTCTATAGTTAGTTTCCGAATTACTTCAAGGCGTTTCATTTGTCAAGAAAATAAAACAGATTTCCACTTTTCTGACATTATCATGACGTTGTTGAGAGAATATCCTCCCTGCAGTGTTTAAAGTAGAATATCGCTTGTATAAATAATATACAAACCTGGGATAATTTAGATTATGTATTAGTATATTATCTAATAAAAGCTACTTACACAGGCCCCAACAGAAACAAAGAAATACATGGCTAGGTGTATCAGAGCCCTCTGCAACGCTGATGTCAAACAAGGTTTTGTATTTGGCAAAGATGTGTCTCTTCCTGAAACCTACGTCCACACAGCAAAGAATCCCCTCAGAAATATTGGAGGCAATCGTCCTTCCAAGAGGCCAATACTTGCTTTCTTTGCCGGGCAGCTCCATGGTTACGTTAGGCCAATTCTGTTGCAGCATTGGGAAAACAAAGACCCCGACATGAAGATCTTTGGCCGGTTGCCTAAGGGGAAGGGTAATAAGAACTACGCGCATCATATGCAGAGCAGCAAGTACTGCATTTGCGCAAAAGGTTACGAAGTGAACAGTCCGCGAGTGGTTGAAGCCATTTTCTATGAGTGTGTTCCGGTGATTATATCAGATAACTTTGTGCCTCCGTTTTTCGAAGTTCTGAATTGGGACTCGTTTGCCGTATTTGTTTTGGAGAAAGATATTCCGAATTTGAAGAACATACTCGTTTCGATCCCGGAGAACAGATATCTTCAGATGCAAATGAGGGTGAGAAAGGTGCAACAACATTTTCTGTGGCATGCTAAGCCTGAGAAGTATGATACTTTTCATATGATACTGCACTCTATTTGGCACAATAGACTCCATCAAATAAAACCCAGATGACATATAAACATTCAACTTGTAAAATATTCTTTACATTTTCTTACTTGAGCCTAAAGGAAGGGATTTGATACACTTTCTTTGAACCAATTGGGCCCAGAGGAAGCCCAAAGTCCAAGGCCCATTTGTTTGTCCATACGAAGGAACCTCCGTCGCATTGCAATTGCTGGAATATTACTTGCTGGGAATCAGGAAAGTGGTGTGTTATCATCGTCTCTTTTTACTTTTCACACATTCTTCATTAATTTGTTTTTTAATTTTCTTAATTCAGTCGATCGAAGGTTGCAAATTAAGAGAATGTAAATGAAATAAAAAAGAATGTTTGAATAGCACATCCAAGTGAAAGAATGAATGGGTCTATGATCTTAGTTGATGTGATTTCATGTATTAGTAAAGATATATGAAGCCAAGAATCGAAAGAATCGAAACACTTATGTTTAAATACATAAAATATATTTGACTGCTAGATGATATTGTATTAAATACATTTTTTTAACAAGCAATATTGTCTATAGTAAAGGGAAGGGATGCGCTTAGTCTCACAATGGACTAGCAATAATGTGATTCAAATTTTAACGAGAATCGAACTGTAGTACTAAGTAACCGTATTAAATACATTTAAATATTGTAGTTAGTTCCTTAAATATTTTGTAACATCGTATCATAGTTAAATAAGCAAATTGCTTTCAGAGAGAGGATCCTCTTTGTGAGGATCCCTGGGATCCTCCAATCACATCTGTTCATCGTATATCGTGCGGTCAGTTTTTGTCGGGTACTGTTTATATTCAATTTTAAATAAAAAAATTACAATAATTTCTGACCGCACGATGTACGATGAACGGATGTGATTGAAGAATCTCCAGATCCTCACTAAGAAAATTCGATGAGGATCCTTGTGGTTGTTTTCATACCTCCGTTTTACTTTTTACACATTTTTATTAAAATTTATTCATTAATTTTCTTCAATTCATTCGATTTACGGCTAAATATTAAAGGGGAAGTGTGACTCTGCAATCCATTGAGAATTACTATTACCAGCTGACCTGAAAGGCTTCAATTGCATGCATCATGTGCACGTTACACGTGTCATGATACTGCCGCATCACGTGAATGTCATTGTAAAGGATCGTAATCAAACGGCCCAAAAAGGCTTAATAAAATGCTCAATCAAGCCGGTCGCACCGCATGATAAGGGACCAAATCAAATTATTGCATCACTGCCAAACCAAGAATATTTATCTTTTCTTTTTAGGTAAAGTAGGCTGGAATTTTTTGTCTAGGACTTGAAAACGATGCTTCCACCCTGCTCGTCACGAAAGAATCTGTTAAATTTTACTCGTAATCATTGCAGGCGTGAGTTAAATCAACAATATATTTATCTTTTCTTTTTATGTTGGCTATAATAATATATTTATTTTCTACATTTGAGTTCAAATCTCGTAATTTAAGTATTTAGACAAAGTGAAACTACAAGTTTTTTTATTTATTTATGAATTTACGTCTAGTCTTGCATAGGGGTGGACACGGTTTAGTTCGGTGTGGTTTTTAGTGAAACCGAAACCGAAACCGAAACCAAAATGTTTTGTGGTTCGGATCAGTGCGGTTTTGAAGCCAAAACCGAAATGAAACCAAACTGTTTGGTTCGGTTCAGTACGGTTTTAAATGGTTTTGGTTTGATTTTTAAGAAAAAAAAGTACAATTTGCAATTTAACATATTAATAAGCATTTCCCAATTGCAATAGGAAAAAGACATTTGTTATGTAAACAATTAGCATGTTGCATGCAGTTGTGATGTTAAAACATGTTTGTGCAACAAAAGGATGTCCCTTACAATGTTTATCATAAAACAAGTTGAATAAATTTGAATTCATTAAACGTGAGCGAAACTTTGATACTAGAATATGTGATATCATGCTTCAAATGAGTGGACTTCATTAGATCATTGTTCGACTCTTGTTAACAAGATTAATCCACCCTTGTACATATATGTGTGTGTGATGGTATAAAATAACAAAGGTCCTTCAAGTTAATGAATGAAAAAAAGTGATGAATGATGATATTCTAGTGTGGTTGAGTCTCATACTAAGTATATGGATTCTAACAAACAATCAATTAAAACAGGAAATATAATATGGACATTTAATTAAATGTTTATTAATATTTGCAGTGCGGTTCGGTTTCGGTGCGGTTTTCAAAAACCAAAGTCGAAACCAAGCCATTTTCTATGTTGCGGTTTGGTTTCAAAACCAAAACCGTTTCAAAACCGCAAAACCAAACCGTTCGGTGCGGTTAGATTTGGTTTGTGTTTCGGTTTCGGTTTTCAATTCTAAGTGCCCACCCCTAGTCTTGCATGCAATCAGTCTGCCTCTTGTCATAAAATATAAAAATTTGTAAGTACAGTTAGAATTTTTTTTTTAACTTATTGCTTTCTGAATTTAGACTTCCTTTCTTTGTCTAAATATAACGATAAAAGACAACATAAAAATTTGAAAATTGAAACCTTACCTACATCTACATGCATGTATTATTTTAGTAGAAACTCAATTAAAATATGCAATAAAATATGCCTTTAAACTTTTAGACATTCTGTTTTGGTCTGCTAACTATTTATATATATGCAGAATGACATAAGTTGACAAAAGATGTGGCCCTGCATTTATCTAAATACTCATTTAAGTGTGAGTAATTTTACGTTCGATTATCATTAAAAATAAATTTAAATTATATTATTATTAACTTAGTGTAAGGCTACATCCATTCTCCTTTCTTTTATCGAAATAAAAATTCAAAGGGAATGCCCTAAGGGTCAGGCTTTACTAACATATTGCAATGCAACGTTGCAAGCAACCAATCAATCAGACAATAGTCGCCGTCTTGTCGGTCTAATCTCTCATTTTCCTGTCAACAAAGGCGATTAGGGGGTGCCATTTTTGTAAATATTTAGACAAGTAAGTGTGAGGCTTTGGCAAATTGGAAATACAAGTCAATGAAAATCTCACAGCTTCCCTGGTCTCGGTAAGGCCATTGCAGAAGGGGAGCGAAGAAGCTCGGCAGCTTTTCTCTGAAAGCGAAGGTATTTCCTTGAACCCATTAAGCTACTCCGTTTCCTTTTTCTGTTCACAGCGAGAAAATAGCTGTTTGGTTGCTGAGAAAGTGTGGGAAATGGAAGGAAAGTACCAGGCTGGGAATTTAATGTTAGAACCGAAATTGGAGTACGAGCAAAACCCAGTTTGTAGAGTTCCGGATAAATTTGGAATCTTTATTTTTGCCTCTCTCTCTCTCACACAATCAGCTGTGATTATAGTTTAAAGTTTGATTCTTGAATGTTTTCCTGTTTTAGTCAAGTTGCAAAATGATCATAGTTTAATGGGTTTGTTCTTGCATGCTGAGATTTTTTATTGAAAATTCAACCTTATTGTTTTTTTGGTAGTAAAAGGGTTCTTTGTGGTTTGCTTGGAGGGAAATTGTAGATGTCAGCTGTAATACATAATTCAAATTTTTTTAATGTAATTTGATTCACTTGGAAATTAAGAAATGCAAGGATTGTTGTTTAATTGCTGATGAGCAGCTTAAATCTCATCTGTTTCCCGATGGTGCACTTAAATTTCTTGATTGGTTTAGATGTAATTTGCCAACAACCAGTTGCATATGTTTGTTTTTAAGGTATCTTATTAAGTGCATTTGAGGACTGATTGAAGAATGTATTCAATTTTTTCGGCAATTAGGAACATAGCTCCCTCCTTAATAATTACAGTTCGTGATTGTGGCACTGGAAAATGTGCAGGGTGGATTATGTTTTTTTATAATTTTGTCGAAAACTGCCCACTAATCACTAGAGCGGTCTGTCAAAATGGGTCAGGAGCTTTTGTCTCAGTGTCAAGTCAAAACAAGGACATTGCTGTGGATTGTGGGAATGTTGTTTGCTGTGATTTTAGTTGTCCAGCATCTTGAGCTTCCATATGGTACTGTCTTATCATCTATGCTCTCTGCTGCAAAGGTTCCAGTAGAGGGGAAAAGTCGCTTCCAAGCTGTGGATTCGCCGTCTGATTCTGAGGCTGTTGGTAACGTGTCGCTTTCTAATGATTTGAACTACACTGGTACATATGGAATTCACAAGATAGCTAACGATACTAGGACCTCTGGTTTTGTATTAGAAAGAAATGAAGTCTCAAACAGAACTTTAGAAATCGATGAGGATACAGGTGATGATCAGGAGGAGCCATCTGATAATTTTGCAAAGCAAAATAGAACTTTCATTGTGGAAAATGTCAACCCCTTGGAGACTGACGTTGAACAAGAGCAGCGACATAGCTCTTTTGAAAAGAAAAATACCACTGATGCTACTTTTTCAGAAGGTGGGACTAGGAATGAAAGTAATACAACAGATGAGGTTGTAAATTCTACTGCTGGTTTTCCAACTGCTTCACCTGCATCCCCAATGATAAATTCATCATCGATTGCAGCTCCAGCAATTATTGAATCAAACGTTGGAGCACCCCCTATAGCCGTTGGCTCAAATGTGACTTTGGTTCAGAAAGATCAAACAACCTTGTCCCAGAAACCCAAAAGCTCTGAGCAATTGCATAGTAACCTCAGCCGAACAGAACAAAGTTCTTCACCGACCAGGGTCCCAGAAATGAACAAAGAGCCAGAGGTTCCAGCCTTGGATGTATATTCAATATCTGATATGAACCAGCTGTTGCGTAAGAGTCGGTCCTCGTACCATTCAGTGGTACGTTTTAAAGATTTGATTTATGTTATTTGAATCTGATTAAGTTTTTCTTAAAATGCTTCAACTCCTTGTTCTTATTTTTCACTTTTCGTGTTTTGTATTGTTTTTGGTCAGAAACCACGATGGTCTTCAACAGTTGACCGAGAGTTGCTATATGCAGCATCACAGATTGAAAACGCACCCCTTCTAAAGAGTGATCAGACTCTTTATGCTCCACTATACAGGAATCTTTCCATGTTTAAAAGGTCAGTCGATGAAATCGTTATATGTATGAACTCTTACAGTAGAGTCACTTTTAGAAGTTATTGCGAACAAGACACTGTTCTTACTGAAAAACAGTTGATGATATCTGTCACAAGCTGGTAACCTATGTGGATAGAGTCAAATGAAAATGTTGGCATATGCATTATCTTAATTCATTCTAGAAATTTCATAAGCTGCGCGTTGTGACTATTCAAGTAGTTACTCCTGCTCAAGTAAATTCTCATCTAATTTGCAGGAGCTATGAACTAATGGAGAACACTCTTAAAGTATACGTATACCGGGAAGGAGAAAGACCTATATTACACTCCCCATTTCTCAGGGGAATATATGCTTCCGAGGGATGGTTCATGAAGCAGATGGAAGCTGACAAGAGGTTTGTTACTAAAAACCCTCGGAAAGCCCACCTGTATTACTTGCCTTTTAGCTCCCGAAGGTTAGAGGAAAGTTTGTATGTACCCAATTCACACAATCATAAAAATCTTGTACAATATTTGAAGGACTATGTGGACATGATTGCCGGGAAGTATCCTTTCTGGAACAGAACTGGAGGAGCCGATCATTTTCTTGTTGCTTGCCATGATTGGGTATGCTTTCCATGTTTCCTGTATAGTTTGCTTTGCGATTTACGTAAGGGCATTTATTTTTAATTAATTTCTAAGTAGCCTTCAAATTCAAACTACAGATAGTTTTGAGAACGTTATATTTTTCTAATAAAAGCTACTTCTTCAGGCCCCGTCAGAAACAAAGAAAATTATGGCTAAGTGCATAAGAGCCCTCTGCAATGCTGATGTCAAAGAAGGTTTTGTAGTTGGCAAGGATGTGTCTCTTCCTGAAACATACATCAAGAATGATAAGAAGCCTCTCAGAGATCTCGGAGGCAATCGTCCTTCCAAGAGGTCAATACTCGCTTTCTTTGCTGGAAGCATGCATGGCTATGTCAGGCCAATTCTGTTGCAGCATTGGGAAAACAAAGATCCTGACATGCAGATCTTCGGTCAATTGCCTGAGGGAAAGGGCAATAAGAACTACGTCCGTCATATGCAGAGCAGCAAGTACTGTATTTGCGCAAAAGGTTACGAAGTGAACAGTCCGCGAGTGGTAGAGGCCATTTTCTACGAGTGTGTTCCGGTGATCATATCAGACAATTTCGTGCCTCCATTTTTTGAAGTACTGAAGTGGGAGTCGTTTGCTGTTTTCGTGTTGGAAAAGGATATCCCGAATTTGAAGAACATACTCCTTTCGATCCCGAAGAAGAAATATCTACAGATGCAAACGAGGGTGAAAAAGGTGCAACAGCATTTTCTGTGGCATGCTAAGCCTGAGAAGTATGATATTTTTCATATGACACTGCACAATATTTGGTACAATAGACTCCATCAGATAAAACCCAATTGACACAGTAACATTCTAGTCATGTAAATTCTGTTTTTGTATTTTTTTTTATTGTTTATTTTTGGAAGAAAGTGAAATAACAAGCAAATGTAGTGGCAGGTTGCATTTGAAATTTCAGAAACTTTTGGTACATGAATTGTTATTAAAGTATATTGTATATATCAAGGCAGAGAACTGGTCTTTGTTCTCTCATGTATATTGGGATATAGCGCTCAACCACTATTCAGTTGGTAAATAATTCCAATTGGTTTGATCTTGAGCGATCATGTGTAATTGAAATACTAATTGTATTTTTTATTGGGATATTATGCTATTGCTATATTGGATCACCAAATTTTGAAAGACTCTAATTTGCCTGAATTGAATACCACCATAATTTGAAGAGCTTTATAAAATCTGAATTGAGCGCCAGTAGAGTTTGGCGGATTCCTTTAAAATTCTTTAGGGCATGCTTAGTATTCAATTCGAATTCAATTATTTTAACTCAAAAACAGTTGTTTAGTCTCAACTCAAGCCTAAAATTCTTGTTTAGTAGGACTATTTTGAGAAACTGAATTGAGCTTTATAAAAAACCGTTTGTAAGAGATGGTCCCAAAAAGTACTTTTAAAACCAATGAAACTTTTCTAGTAGAATACCAAATTCAAAACTCTTAAATTTCTTTAGAATCTCAAATGAATACACCACTAAATCCTATTTTGGGTTGAAAATTCTAGAAACAAATCCGCGCTATTTTGGAAACAAATGTTGGTTAGGAGCAAGTATGTGTATATAGGGAACAATATCAAACTATGTAGTTTCGATAGTTTTTATATTGTTACAATCATATTTCAAAAGTTGTTGCCGGTTAAAATTTTTCATCATGCACACTTTCTTATACAAATTTTTTTTACATTTATAATCAAAGTGTAGATAATTTTTCATGTGTTATATTTAAACAATTTAATTATGGAATTAACTCAACCTCATATAGTTTGATCTCTTTGGAGTTTTGGACAACCTAAATCAACCGTTAGAAGTTACAAAGCAAGCTCAGTTATCATTCCAACACGTGGCCCGATCATCGTTAACGTGAAAGTTAGTGCATTGCCTCGACAGTCTAAAATCCTCAAGTTTTATATCATGACCGTTCGATCATAAGATTCTGTACGAACAATGCACTCAGACTAATCCAACGTCCACAGATATACGTTCAAGATGCACGAATGAGGTCACCAAGCAAAAAATAAAATAATAAAAAAAAAAAAAGAGGACAAAAGCTGTTCTTCATCTGTTTGCAAAACCTGAAAAAAGCAGTTAAACGATACACATTAACCTGCAAATCTGATATATCCAAATCCAAATATCCATATTCCTTGATTTTTCAATTAGTTTTCCCTTTATTTTATTTGATATTTTAATAAAATTAAATCCTTTGAATTTATCAAAGTTTATTACATTGATGAATTTTCAATGAAAAGAGTAGGTGGAAACAAAAAGCAGATAAAGTCTCTTATTATCCGATCAAAACCAAACAGCAGGAGATTAAATTAAATTAATTTACAGAGATTGGTGGTGGGAATCCATGGCTACTTCGGTGAAGGTGAAGAGCGGCGGCAACCTGCAGGATGGTTCTTCAAAGGGAAAGATTGGATATTCTGTTACCAAGAAGAAGATTGACAGCTCTTCAAGCAAGCAGGCAGCTGATTACAAGCAGAAATCTGTGCAAACTGTTACAAAAACTGAGGTAAAACCCAGGTCAAATTTCATTGGTTTTTGAACGTTTTGACCTTAAAGTTGTGATCTTTGGATTGGTTTTTCAATTGGGTGAATTGGGTTTGTGGGGTTGTGAATTGATTTAGCTGTTTCTAATGAATTAGGGGATGTTCTAATTTGGAATGTTAAATTTGGATAATTGACAATGACATAGTGAAATTTGTGGTTCTGATTTGCTTGTTCTTAGTTTTTTGACCTTAAAGTTATGGTCTTTTGATAGGTTTTTCAATTTGGTGAATTGGTTTATCTATTTCCAATGGATTAGGTGATATTAGTTTGGGGGGTTTCTTAATTAATTTGGACAAGCAAAGTGATCTCCGCACTCCTATTTTCTCCTTCTGCACCCTGCCTCTTGTTAATAGTTTTAGGATTGAATAAATCTTCGGAGAATTAAGAGGCGGAAACAAGGGAGGAGTGCAGAAGGAGAAACTAGGCGAGTGAAAATCACTACCCTTTGGATAATTGGCAATGACATAGTTGATTTGCGGTGCAACCTATGCCTCTCTGAGGGGTTCCCGTCCCCAGATGTGATGGATTCAGTATTATTTGTTCAAATGTGAAGGTAAAATCAAAACCAAATTCGGCATCAAAGACGATAACAAAGAAAACCACCACAAAAGTGAGAGAGAAGAAAGTGTACACTTTGGCTGGCCAGAAATTTGATCCTCCTGAAGAGGTACTTCTTCCCCCATGACATTTATTTGATTATTTCTATGATTGTTTGAGACAATAATGGCTATATGGATAAAGTTTCACTCATCCTTGAGTTTTTTATGCTTCCAATTTCCAGAGAGAACCTCTGCGGATCTTCTACGAGTCATTGTCCAAACAGATACCAACAAGTGAAATGGCAGAATTCTGGTAAATTTTTCCTTATGTTACGAAAGCCTTTCTCCTTCAATCTGATTATATGGCAAATTTGTAAGATGCTTAAATTTGATTTCAAGGTTTATATTATTGGAACTTGGAAGTAAACTGTGTATCGCAAGGCCCACTTCCATTCAAAAGTTCCTAATGATAATAGCAATTCTTCAAAGACAATTTAAACTTAGTTTACTTCGACTGTCCAACGATGGTGCCTGTTCACTGTCTTGGATATGCCTAAGCCAAATATCCATTTGGAAGAATTGCCTATACACATTGTTATGTGGACAACAACTTTACCAGTTAAGCCACATATGTTCACTAACAAAACTAGTCTATATTTGTGTATTTGATGGCCTCCAATTCTATATGTAGTGGGGATTGATTATATGAGTTTCAATGAATTGTGAAGAGTCTAAACTTTTAGGAAGTGAGGAAAAGTCAGAGAAGCAGCCTGCTATGTCCTTTTGTTTGCATTTTCGGAGGTCTTTGGCCAAGTAGCATAATCTTTTTCTTATTGAACCAACAAAACAGCTAATGACTCGTGATTTTGTACAAGCCCTGCTTTTCCCCAGTCTGCACCCTGGTAGGTTGGCTAGCTTCAGATGATCTACCCCCCTCTTTTCTTGTTTGATGAACTTATGAGTTAGGATCAATTCAGACCCCATTCGACTGAAGCACTGAATGCCAACCCAAATAATAATTTTTCAAAACTTTTCTCTTTTTTTTTTTCTTGTCAAAATTTTTCAAAACTTTTCTCAGCCAGATTATTCTTGAAGCTTAACGAGAATGGATACTAGGCTGAACCCTGGACAGTGTAATTAGATTCTAAAAACATTATGGTTTACCTGATTAATCATTCATTATACATCATATTATTACTTTTGTTTGGGTGTAAGGAAAAGCAGTGTAACCTGAGTACGTTGTTGTCAGTTGTCTGGATGTCGGTAAAGCACCATGACTGATCTCGTATTTATCTATGGATTATATGGGTTTTGTGTAGCATAACTTTTGTCTGATCTAACAACGGTCTTTGTTGAAATTGCCTTACGTTCTAAGTTTTTCTTTAAAACATGTTTGATCAGTTAGAGCCATGAAAAACAATAGTAATTTGTAGAAGAACAAGTAGACCAATCTTACATAGTGTGGAACCAGCCAACTTTGTATTTGGCTGCTAAAGAATGTGCTCAGTCCCTTAACTGTGCACTTCAACATGACACCACGCATTTGCAGTTCTCCAATACAGTAATTCATATTCTCTTCAATCTCCATTGCTTCTCCTGGGAGTGTGAATGTTTTGGGGCTAGTGGATCAAGCGTTTCTGAGCAATGTGCGTATCACAGTTCTGAATCTCTGATCAAAACATGCTCTCAAGTTTTTTTATACAAGAGGAATCCTTCTTGGATGTTATCCTCAAATATTTATTTGAACTCTGAAAGCCATTTACTTCTGATGATGTTTCTTATGTTTTGGATTTTTTTTGTTTCTTTGCTGCACTGGTAAACTATGTGGTTAATGAACTTCTTATTTACACTTGTACCCTACACAAATTCGAAAACTAACCGACTAACTTGTAATAACCGTCTCTTTTAAGGGGAAATATACAGCAGTCTTGTTGATATCGATGATGCAAGCTAGTAAATGATTGATGTGCATCGGTAGTCTTTTCATTTCTATCGCCGTGAATTAGATGCTACGTGGATTTTCTTTTAAATATTGGATATGCCCGTTTCATTTGCAGGATGATGGAGCATGGCCTATTGTCCTCTGAAAGATCCAGAAAGGCATATGAGAAGAAGCAGAGAAAGCAAAAGCAACTCCGTTTGGGAACTCCTCTTAAGTCTACACCAAAACCAGCAAGTAAACCTGAGAGTTCACAGAGGCCACAACAGCAGGCATCTAAGAATGGCGATGTAAAAGCCAAGAAGAGAGTTATCAAAGAGAGTGACGATGACGATGATTTCATTTTAAGTTCCAAGAGAAGGAGAGCGTAAGCGAAAATATGAAAAGAACCCCTTATCTGTGTACTTTTAGGAATTGCTTCTTATTTGATCGGGAAAAAAAGGCGGGAACTGTTTAGATATCAGACAAGGTGAGAGAGTTACATTCTTTATTATTGTCAAACTTATGAAAACAATAAGCAAAGACTTTCAGTTTACTTCTGTTTCATTTCGACTTGTCAGTAGTTCATCAACGGTGTTACATAAACGCTGATTAGCCGAAGAATTAATGTTATTGTTAAGCTCTCTTATGATACTTATCTCAAGCTTCCATTCCAACACTCAAAGGATAACCGGATTGGCAGTTTTTCCGATCCGTGTACCTCTCTGATGTATAAATTCATTGTTTTCTGTTCCATGTATCCAATAGGGCTACCTCCTCTTGTTCTTGCCTGTTGGAGAAAGCCAAGGGGTTAGGGTTGTTCGTAAACTTAGCTATGAGGCATTTTTCAATTTAATTTCAGTTCACAGAGATGAAGATTAAACTAACAAGAGTGGAAATTAATTGTGGTTTTAAGGGATGTTGACTTCCAAATGTGTTTCGCTCTGTAGGTATAAGAATGATTAGTAATTAAAATTTATCCCTTCCAATCCTCATTCTAATCCTACCATCTTTTAGGGATTGGAAGGAATTAGTTTTATTCATGACTAATCACGTGATGACAGATAAAACAAAAGAGCATACATCAAAAAATAGTTGATCGAGAATCTCAAAACTGATATTACATGCATCAACGACTAATATGAGAGATCTGTAATGCATGTGTTGTGTGACATGACATATGAAAAAGATAACAATGAGATATACAATCGAGAAGAGCTAAAAATTAATCTTCAACTACAAAGACGATAAGGGGTGTGTAATGTTATCTGTCCTCTGTCACTGTGTTCATGCTTTGATGGCCATGGCCCATGGGGAGTCTCACCCATTGCCATCGGCTGTCTTTAATTCACAGTCAGTGCTATATACATAGGATTTGGATCATCTCTTGTCTTTGGAGGTTGAGTCTCCTGAGCAAAGCACACGGGTCGTTGGATTTTGATTCGACGGTTATAATTATTATAACTTTTAGAGGGCCCATGCTTGTAGCTGTTGGATCAAAATCCAACGCCCCATTTGCTTTGCTCAAGAGGCTTAGCTTCCTAAGCTCAGGAGATGATCCAAATATATATATATATAAGAATCCTTTAATAACAGGGATCTCCATTTTTCTAAAGAAATGACGACACCCTCTTGACCGTTGGATTTGACTTTAATGAAATTGTGTGGTTGAGATTGTGTGACATGTGATTAAATCTCAACCATGCAATTTCATTAAAGCCAATTCAACGGTCAAGATGGTATCTCCATTTTTTAAGAAAAATAAGAATCCCTCTTGTTAAGGGCATGATATATATATATATGCTTCTAAATGTGATCGAAGACCAGTGCATAGCTGCAGCAGCATGGTCATACAATACATATTTTCTGTAAATTAAAATCAACACAAAGACAGATTAGTATGCTGAGCCGCACGTGAATTAAACATGAAACTACGTACATATATTCTTGGGTGAACTGTCAATCTAGTTCCTAAATTATCACTTTAGTAAAAATTATATTCCTAAATTATTTTTTTCAGAAAAATTCAATCATTCAATTATAAAAATTTGCCAATTACATCACTAATATATTATATTCAAAACTATTATATTCAATTTTCCATCAATTTAAGTCACGTTACTTATATGTGATACACATTTTCATAAAAAAATAGTGTATGGAGTTAACTTTAGAGGGTAAATTGGTAGTTTTTCATAAGAAATAGTGTAAATTAACTTTGGAGGGTAAAATCGACGTTAAATTTGTAACCTATATGAAATGTTAAAGGTTTATAAATGAGAAAATGACGGTATTACACTAGGCCTGGCAAACGGGTCGTGTCAGTCGTGTTCGTGTCGTTTTCGTGTAACACCTGTTATCTTAACGGGTCGTGTCGTGTCACACCCGTTATCTTAACAGGTCCTTAACAGGTCGTGTCACTTTACCCAACGGGTAAAGTGACCCGACCCGTTATGACCCGTTATGACCCGTTAAGAAAAATATATTTTTTTTCTTAAATTTGCGCATACCACACATTGCCACATAAATATTACTTCAAAACATTAAAACACATTTGTCGTTTAAGTACTACATCTACACTTGAAAATAAGAGCCTAATAAAAAAATAATACATACACTACTAATCTATTACAAATTTTAAATGTGCAAGGATATGCAAAATGAAACAGTTTTTGTTTTCAAGGTTGTGAAATCTTTCTCAAAAGTTTAAACCTCAATTTACAAAATCCTCGATTTACATCAATCATCATGAAATTGCATTGGAACTTTGGCTTGATCTATTGCCTTCAAGAGTTATGTTGATGATGTTTTCAGTAAGGTTTTCCACGTCATAACAATCTTCTGCATAAACTAAGCATAGAAAAACCAAACATTAAAAATCATTCAAATTATGAGAAGTTTACCAAAATAATTATGAAAAAAAATAAAACAATAGTACTATACCATACTTTTATTAAGTATAAACATAAGATTATGTGGTATCCACTAGTGTAAATATTTTAAATTGAAGATCGAATTCAATCATTGTATTCATATAAGGTCAAGGAGTATAGTTGTAAAAAATCATCAAAATCGGAGTTAAATTAACCGTTAAATCGTGATTTTTCGTTTATAACCGTCGAAAATTTTTGTCCCGTTACGTGCTCTCTGAATGTTTGTTTTTTGCAATTTTTGGCGTATGCGATCTTGAAATATATACGAACATGTTTGACGGTTGGATCATTGAAACTAGTTTCGTAGAATGAGTATCCCATCAAAACAATAGATTCACTAATACTTAAGAGTTTATTCATACTTTTATTAAGTATAACATAAGATTTTGTGGTTTCCACTAGTGTAAATATTTTAAATTGAAGATCGAATTCAATCATTGTATTCATATAGGGTCAAGGAGTATAGTTGTAAAAAATCATCAAAATCGGAGTTAAAATGACCGTTAAATCGTGATTTTTCGTTTATAACCGTCGAAAAGTTTTGTCCCGTTACTTGATCTCTGAATGTTTGTTTTTTGCAATTTTTGGCGTATGCAATCTCGAAGTATATATAAACATGTTTGACGGTTGGATCATTGAAACTAGTTTCGTAGAATGAGTATCCCATCAAAACAATAGATTCACTAATACTTAATAGTTTATTCATACTTTTATTAAGTATAGTATAAGATTTTGTGGTATCCACTAATGTAAATATTTTAAATTGAAGATCGAATTCAATCATTGTATTCATATAGGGTCAAGGAGTGTGGTTGTAAAAAAACATCAAAATCGGAGTTAAAATGACCGTTAAATCGTGATGTTTCGTTTATAACCGTCGAAAAGTTTTGTCCCGTTACTTGATCTCTGAATGTTTGTTTTTTGTAATTTTTGACGTATGCGATCTTGAAGTATATACAAACATGTTTGACGGTTGGATCTTTGAAACTTGTTTCGTAGAATGAGTATCCCATCAAAACAATAGATTCACTAATACGTAATAGTTTATTCATACTTTTATTAAGTATAATATAAGATTTTGTGGTGTTCCACTAGTGTAAATATTTTAAATTGAAGATCAAATTCAATCATTGTATTCATATAAGGTTAAGGAGTGTAGCTGCAAAAAATCATCAAAATTAGAGTTAAAATGACCGTTAAATCGTGATTTTTCTTTTTATAACCGTCGAAAAGTTTTGTCCCGTTAATTGATCTCTGAATGTTTGTTTTTTGTAATTTTTTACGTATGCGATCTCAAAGTATATACAAACATGTTTGACGGTTGGATCTTTGAAACTAGTTTCGTATAATGAGTATCCCATCAAAACAATAGATTCACTAATACTTAATAGTTTATTCATACTTTTATTAAGTATAACATAAGATTTTGTGGTATCCACTAGTGTAAATATTTTAAATTGAAGATCGCATTCAATCATTGTATTCATATAAGGTCAAGGAGTGTAGTTGTAAAAAATCATCAAAATCGGAGTTAAATTAACCGTTAAATCGTGATTTTTCGTTTATAACCGTCGAAAAGTGTTGTCCCGTTACTTGCTCTCTGAATGTTTGTTTTTTGCAATTTTTGACGTATGCGATCTCGAAATATATACAAAAATGTTTGACGGTTAGATCATTGAAACTAGTTTCGTAGAATGAGTATCCCATTAAAACAATAGAATCACTAATACTTAAGAGTTTATTCATACTTTTATTAAGTATAACATAAGATTTTGTGGTATCCACTAGTGTAAATATTTTAAATTGAAGATCGAATTCAATCATTGTATTCATATAAGGTCAAGGAGTGTAGTTGTAAAAAATCATCAAAATCGGAGTTAAATTAACCGTTAAATCATGATTTTTCGTTTATAACCGTCGAAACGTTTTGTCCCGTTACGTGCTCTCTGAATGTTTGTTTTTTGCAATTTTTGGCGTATGCGATCTCGAAATATATACAAACATGTTTGACGGTTGGATCATTGAAACTAGTTTCGTAGAATGAGTATCCCATCAAAACAATAGATTCACTAATACTTAAGAGTTTATTCATACTTTTATTAAGTATAACATAAGATTTTGTGGTATCCACTAGTGTAAATATTTTAAATTGAAGATCGAATTCAATCATTGTATTCATATAGGGTCAAGGAGTGTAGTTGTAAAAAATCATCAAAATCGGAGTTAAAATGACCGTTAAATCGTGATTTTTCGTCTATAACCGTCGAAATGTTTCGTGCCGTTACTTGATCTCTGAATGTTTGTTTTTTGCAATTTTTGGCGTATGCGATCTCGAAGTATATATAAACATGTTTGACGGTTGGATCATTGAAACTAGTTTCGTAGAATGAGTATCCCATCAAAACAATAGATTCACTAATACTTAATAGTTTATTCATACTTTTATTAAGTATAATATAAGATTTTGTGGTATCCACTAGTGTAAATATTTTAAATTGAAGATCGAATTCAATCATTGTATTTATATAAGGTCAAGGAGTGTAGCTGCAAAAAATCATCAAAATCAGAGTTAAAATGACCGTTAAATCGTGATTTTTCTTTTTATAACCGTCGAAAAGTTTTGTCCCGTTACTTGCTCTCTGAATGTTTGTTTTTTGCAATTTTTGGCGTATGCGATCTCGAAGTATATACAAACATGTTTGACGGCTGGATCGTTGAAATTAGT